TTTAATTGTTTCTACCTCTTCTTGCCCAATTATAGATGTAAAGCTAATGAAGAGACAAATAGAGAGCCACCAATAAGAATTGAAGAGATGGAATACCTATATTAACCAGCAGGGTTGATGTTAAAAGTCATTTGGATGTATTATGAATATATTCATTGTGACATCAAAGTTAGTTACTATTCTAAAAGAATGGAACTCTTCATATTTACTATTTTCTTCTGATCCATTAGTGTTTATATCACTTGGTTTATTTCAGACATGAAGTCATCTAAAGACTTTCTGGGAGTTTTTTTCCAAAGAAGATTACAGTATTCCAGTAGAAAATTCTAGCCTCCTGACCTTGTTCTGAGCTCAGTATTTCAATTTATTCATGCAAATAAAATGATTGTGTAATTTCTGGAATTACAAAACATAATGATGATTCCTTTTGCCTGTACAGTTTATATTTTGTGTTTTGCATGTGGGTTTTTCAGCCATTTTGAAAGGATTTTCCAAATGTTTCATTTAATCTGTTGAAAATCCTTCCACCTGGTGTTGTTAGTTGAATGTAATGGTAAATATGTACCATTCTTGCCTTCCATTGGACTGTTTTAGTATCCATGTGTGTGGGATTGACAGAATGTTACTTTTACAATAGAGTTACAACTCTCCAAGTCCTAAATGGCAGCTATAACTAACCCCATGGAGGAAGATTCCTAATTATTTTCTAATTTTTCTGTGTTAATGACAGGTTTTATGCATACAGTCAGCTATTAAAGCATTAGAGTTTCTTTTATTTCTTAATCATTAACAACTTTAGCACTGATTGCCCATAGAGTTCCAAGCTGTTAAAATTATCATTTGCCTCTTACTAATTTTGAAACCAGGAGCTGTTTCATTATTTGATAAAGCACAGGTCTTTCTCAGAGCACACACAATGCAAGAGTACTATGAGTTTACTCTGGGAAAACCGAATCTAAAAATAATTAATTTGTAAAGTAAATGGAAGTAAAGGGAGGAAAATACTCTTAAATATTTAAAAATTCAGTATTTTTAAAGGATTCAACAGAAAGGGTTTTTTGTTTGGCTTTTTTTTTTTCCCCCAACAGAAAGCTCACCTGTTTTTTTAAATTTATTCTCCACATATGGTAGATTTGATAAAGTTTACGGTGATTATTTTATGAAGAGTATAGAGAGTCAGAAAATCTACACGTCATGTTTCAATGCTAAAATGTCAGTTGAAATTCAACCAAGGTTAACATAATGTAGAATTATTATGTGAGCCAATAGAATGTAAAAGACATCTTGGAAAAATTATTTTTATACCCAGCATTTTAAAAACCATGTGCCTATAGTGGCCTACCCATAATACAGTATGTGCTCAATAAATATTTGTTAAATTGATTTGATATATGTACAAAATCAGTTGATGATATGATAAAATCAAGCATGTTACCTTAAACATTTATTCATTCAAATATATTTATTGTACATTCCAAATACAGTTTTTTGAGAAAAATTAAAAATTGATGACTTATTTTATTTAAAATGATGTGGTTTTTTAAAAAAATATTATTTGATGTATTTCTACAACATTGGGCTGAAGGAATCTATTTGGGACCAACAGCCTCCTATGGACTAGGGCTGTACAACCTACTTAAGAAATACCTCAGAGACTTGTTAGAATAACCAGTTCCTAAGCTCCACTCTCAAATATTTTGGGGGTGGGTCTAGGGTGAGCCTAGGCACCTGAATTTTTTGAGAAACTACCTAGATACTGATATGCACTTAGATTTCAAAACCAGTGATATATAATCTACAACCACTGTTTCTGAGAAGAATCACTTGCTACTGGTATTTGTTTAGCCTATTTTTAATGTAATTGTTCTTGACTTCCTGTTAAACTCCCTCCTTCTTTGGGAAGACACAAAATTCTGAGGTGAGGGTAGGGATAGGATATTTTCCTTAGTTAGGGTACCATGAAAATGAGGATCTAGGCTTTCTCAGTCCATTATTTCTGATTTCTAGGGATTTTTTCTAAGTTCTAATCCATTGCCAGAAATACCACTACATGATTCATTACTTAAAGCAGGAAAAGCAAAAGTTAGCACTACCTGGAAGCTCTCTCATACTTACAGGCCCACATTAGCCCTCTTGTACATGAGCTGTATTCCATATTACCTTCTTGATGTCATTCTTTATGGCACAAACCCATCCTAAACTTTATCCCTCGACCTTTTCCCAGGAGGCATAACATACGCTTCTGGCTTGCAGAGGTCCTATAGCCAAGCAGCCAAGAATGGATGCACATATTGTGTCTTTGCTCAATCTTTGTCCATCTTTCAATCCACTGTTCACCTTGCTACCCTTACTCTTGTGGTTAGAATGAAAACACTCATTTCCAAGTTTTAATATATTTTCTTCGTTTTTCTTTATTTCTACTGTGTATTATAAAATCTTTTCCTAAGTACTGACCTGCGTAGTTTCTCCAGAATTTACCAACTTACCTTCTTTTTTCCCCTGAAAGTTGATCTTGATGCATTTTTCATCTCCCACATAATATAGTTTATCTCTAATTAGTGTTTCCCACTCAGTAGCATTAAGTATAATCATATGTTAATTATGATGCATCATGATTTTGATTCCTTATTAAAGCTATAATCTCTCCTTTCATTAGGAACTTCCATTTGCAATACTAACAGCTGTCTCCATCTTCCTAAGGAAGCAGACAATCTTGCTTGTAGGCTATAGTCTTCCTAAGCATTGTGTGCAGTTAGATTGTGATGTAACATCTGTCTTTTGAAAACTTAGTCTAAGTGGAATATAAGTCATTTTCTTTTATAGTTAAATTCCATTTGCCCTTGTTATTTGTGCCTATTAAGCATCTGTAGTATGTTAAATGCTGTGTAGGACAAAGAAATGTGGGGCAAAGCATAACTGGGCAAAGTCTTGTAATAACTTTACAATCCTGTATTAAAACTTAATGTAATTGAAGTCTATTGGAATTATTTTCATTTTTTCCTTCTCCAGGGTAAATATTAATAATTCAAATTCCTTTAACCACTTTTATTTAAGCTCCATGAATCCCAAATTCCATTAACTTAAATGAAGAAACATGGTTAAACAATTTTAGGCTATTTTATTAATGAGATACAATTCCATAGCTGAAAAGGGGAAGCTAAAATCAACTGAAACTTGGAATGAATCAATAAGGACAAGAAACTTTCCTGAACAAAATAAGGTTAAAATCATTCAAATCTGCTACAACAGAATGGTTAGCAATTGCTCTACCATACATGTACACAAAGTGCTTGCTTCATAAAGTTTCTTTGCTTCTCAAAGATGATTCTTTAAGGAGGAAAAAAAAATCAGAAAAACATTAACTTTTTATAAACAAGACATATAGCATATCACAACACTAACTCTTCTGTTATCTTTGAATATGGCCCCAGTTGTAAAGCACCTCCCAGAAGGTTTTTCTATTAAATAAAAGATTAGGCATGAGTTATTTTCTCTCATTAGAAAACAGCAATCAATTTTTTGGTAATGAGGAGTCATCACTAAAATTATATTCATAAGGATGAAGAGTGCCGTACTGATTTCCAGTCTCTTCCCCCTCTGACTTTATTTTTTGTTTTTCATAGTTGTTTGTAAGATATTGTCACATAAGAAATACATGTAAATGTCATTATGAGAGATTTGGCAATTTTTTGAAAGTTTCATTTATCTGAGTTGTAATTGATAACATCCAAGATTGATTCATTTCCTAAGGCAAGCTGAGCATTAGTTTGTATGATGTTCTGCCAGGTTCAGTCACTTCATATCTGGTGTCAGCATGCAGGCGTCTTTGAGTATGTCCTGTTCATATATTAGGGGCATTGTTATTCATAGTAACTTCATATTAATGATGCAGTTGAATTATAATATCAGTATAGGGGTCAAGTGTCTGGATGGTGAGAATATTAGTTTATTTTGTTTGTAAATATAATTAGAAATAGGGGAAAAAAAGAATGGGAGGCCAGACAGCATAATGTGAATGTTATCTCTAGATAGTAAGTTTATTTTAGATTTTAATTTTTTCTTATGCTTTTCTGTTATTTCCAAATTTCTGAAATGAAGAAAAATAAGTGGAATCAGAGAAAAAGAAGAAATTACAGTTGCTGCTTACTTATTTTGTTTTGCTTATCCTAGGAGACTTGGCCAGGTTTTTTTTTGTTTTTTTTTTGTTTTTTTTTTGTTTTTGGGTTTTTTTTGGTGTATGATACTTCTTTTCCAAGACATCTTCCTTCTTCCCCATGCCACTGAAGCACATTTTTTGTCTCTTAGCTGTATGGAAAGTACATAAGTTCGTATGACTAGGATCTAAAGATACATAACTTTAGCTGACTTTGATTCTTCATTTTAATTTGATAAACTCTGTTTGTAGATGGATTCTTGCATATATTTTGCTACAAAATGATGCTTATGGCCTTTGTATTTGAGGATGTTGATAAGTGTCATGGAGATAAATGTGTTGAGATGCACGAAAGGTTCTAGGAAATATGAAAAACAATATGATAGGATTTGTAAGTTGATCATGTTTTAGAGATATTATCTAATTGAAAGCCATTCATCAACATTTCTCAGGCCTGAGCTCCTAGATCATTGTTCAGATTAAAGTTCCAATATATCCATTGGCCATTAAAAGTTACTTTCAAGCTGTGTATTAAAACTTAATCATGGACATCTTTGCTCCTGCTGTCCAAAGAAATACCTTATAATTCTTTCATTCTTAGGTAAATTTCTGGATTTCCAAAAATGAGTACCCTCCATGCACCCCTTTTCCCCTTTTTTCTTTTCACAATTGAAAAAAAAATATTGCATTCTAACTTTATGAGACTATCAAGGAAAAAAAAAATCCTACAACTATCATGAGACATTAAAGAAGATAGTATGAAACTGAATGCTTTGGAAGTTTCGGGTAGTACAAAAAAGCAAGGAATAATTTGGTTTATTTGTTTTTTTCCATCTAATATTTTTAGGTACAAGCCTATGCAGAAAGTGGATGGGGTTGCAGATGGTTTCACAGGAAGTGGTCAACAGACAGGCACATCTGTTGAGCAAACTGTAATTGCCCAAAGCCAACATCATCAACAGTTTTTAGGTATGTTAAGGTGTAATGCATATTAGTTGCTACTAGGATTTTGAAAAGAGAACAATGGTAGTGTTTTCTCCAAGTGCAATGTCTATTATAGATGTCAATGACATAGAAAGATTTTTTTGGTGCCAAAATTATGCACATCATATGTATAACAGTCCTAGTTCATGTCTGCCTTTCGTGTTTATTAGAGCTTATTTTTAAAAATCTCAAGCTGTATAGGACTTTTATGCATATGAATTAAAGACTCATTGCTATGAAATTGTTTTCCAGAATTTGTATTAATTGGCTTTTGTGATCAAAATTATGTTGTTTACTTTCAGTAGTAACTTCAAGTGCCAAAAAGAATTCTCATTTCCTGTGTATAAAGTTACATATGCGCAGGCTCAGATTAGAAAAAAATTTTTTATAAACTTTTTAAAAGTAATTTATTCATTTAAATTAATCACAGTACTTTCTTTTTGTAATTTTTTGTAATTTAAAGATGGAATACATATTTCTTGTTATTGAAAGAGTTAGGAAGAAAAACTTGCATATTTTTCATATTTTTGCCACAGCCAAAGGGGCAAAAAAGTGGCACTTTAATTTAATTGACAGCTCTTCTAGAGATGAACATGCATATTTTCCATATAACGAGTCAAGATAAGTAGAAGCTATCAGAGAGTGACTGTGTGTATGTGTCTGTGTGTGTGTATATGTGTCTATGTGCACTTTCTGACAAAGACAACTAAAATAGACTCTCAGATTGGAATCATTACTGGAGTTGAAAACATCATGGCAGCATTTCTCAGACTGAAGTCCTCGGGTTATATTCTTGGGGACCCTTGGTCATTCAACAAGAATTTTATTTTGTGATTTCACTTCAATTATCATCTTAAAAACTAAGAATATTCTGGATTACTTAGAAAACTAGAACTAAATACCGTTCTGCAATTTTAGTTTCCATATTTGTACCTGGATTTATGATAAGATAGGCACCAAAATGTCTTACATTAATTGTCCAGAGCTAATAAGAAAAGAACAGAGAGAGAGACTTACTATGTAAATTATGCCTCCCTCACAAGGGAAGCCTAGATCATGTCCCTGTATTCTGTGTGGAGGAAAGTTTCACAGTCATTTGTGCATAGAAGAGTAATGGGAGAAGCAGCCACCACAAAGCACATGTTGGTATAGACCTGTCAGAACCAAAAGATCCTCTGCTGCAGCAGTCAATACTGATCCTTGTTGCAAGAGATAACTTAGTTACAGGACAAGAGCATCATCCATCACATCAAATTGATGTTGTTAAGTTGTATGTTATTTTTGTAGTTTTCTTTGTATCCGCTTTGTAGCTCTTTAGGTTTATAACTATATAACAGTTAAGAACATAATGATTTTAAAGCTAGTTTTTTAATGTAGTTAAGTAACATAATAAAAATATCTAAAATAGGTACTAGCAAACTCGAGATATTTTTCTTTTAATAGGGGCCTTGTGTTGAGAGAAACTGTGATATGCAGTATACTATTTGCAGTACAATTGTAGTGCAGATTTTGTTTCTAGAAAATTCTTAAGTGTTCCCTTCAGTTTTATATTTTGTGCTGATGATGGTGCTTAGTTTTACTTGTAAAATATTAATATAAAAAGTCCTTGCTCTCTGGACCCCTGACCTTTAAAATTTGTTTTTCTTTTTGGTCTTCTTAAATTTTCCCTCATTAATCTGTAATTGGCACCATACACAATAGCTTTTTTCTGTTCTGTTGTCATGGTAACAGATGCATCTCGAGCACTTCCAGAGTTTGGAGAAGTTGAAATCTCTTCTCTGCCAGATGGTACTACCTTTGAGGATATCAAGTCACTGCAGAGTCTTTATAGAGAGCACTGTGAGGTAAGTCTTTTCAAATGTAGTATGAACACATGCTAGGTTTTGCCAGACAACTTGCTAAAATAAAATAATCAAGCTTATTCCTAAAGGACAGACGAACTTAGCACTAATTCTTTTGAGCATATCTTTTAGCACTAACAAATTCATTTTTCTTCTTTCTGGTCTCAGAGTGGAGAGATGAGAAATGCAGAAAATTGAGAATAAATTTTATTCTCTATTTCTTAAGCCTATCCTGATATGAATCCTTTGATGTAGCAATTCCACGTCTACATATTTGTCCTACAAAAATACTAACATATGGGTGACAAGAGAAGCGTACAAAGACATTTGTTGCGTTATTTTTCAATGCAAAAGATTGGTTATAATTAAAGGTTGATTATTATTTCTTTATCTAATAGGGAGCTGCATAAATAAAATATGGTATTAATACAATCTTTAGAGTAGAATACTATACAGCCATCAAAAAGAATAGGAAACTCTATAAACATACCAAAATGGATCACTTCGAGATTTAATATTAAAGGAAAAAGCAAATGCAAAAAATTATGTATACATATTTTCACTTCAGTGAAAAATAACATGGGTGTATATGTATGTGTATATATGTATGTGTCTTCCTTTTCCTTCCAAAAGGAGGAGAAACAAGAAAATGTTAACAGTGGTTGCCTTTGTGAAGGAAACTGGGTGACTGGGAGTTAGAGGGGAGAGACTCGACTTTTCAACAGACCAGTTTTATCTTTTGAATTTTATATCATGCGTATATTTCTATTAAAATAATTTCTGGAAATGTTTAATAAAGCACCTTACGTGTTCTTTCCAGGGATCATTGAGGCTCCAGTTTTGTTTGTTTCACTTTTGTGGTTAATTAGGGTTCCTTTTGGTGTTTTCTAGCCCTACTCCTACTCTCATTTTGAGTATCCCACATCAGAATTTGCTTCATTGTCTAGGAGGTGAACTCTCTCCATGCCAGCATATTAATGTGGCACAGCTCACCTGGCAAAAAGGGGATAATGGATTATAATAAGAGTTTTCTCGAGTGCTTCTCCTTTTGAAAGAAGAGTCTATTTAGAATTTAAGTAGCTTTATTCTAGGGATATTTGTGATCTGCTTAGGAGTAAAAGATAATCCTTTGGATTTCCTGGGCAGTCCTCCTGGCTGCTGATAATGCAGTATGCAGTAAGAGGTCTTAGCTCATAGCATTAACAGATATTTTCCCCCACTTCAGAAATAAGAATTGCTAGAGCAAATCTGAGTGCTTGTCAAGGGTACTAGATTATTAACAACTGAGGGCAGGTTCTCTCCTTATTAACATAGCATGTTCCAGAAGTGTTCTTCAACGTGCCCTACCGGTTCCCAACATTTCTTGGAATGATGAAAGCACTTAATACTCATTTTCCTTTGACTACTATGCTTTTACCCATATTAGAGAAGTTCTGGATTTTCCTTATGTATATAGAAAAAAATTATTTCTTTCTACATCTATCATCTTATTCAATAAAGATTTGTATAAAGATTCTCTAAACAATTTCTCATTCCTGCATGTTCAAGTGAACCTTGCTTTAAGCAAATCAACCTATATGGATTTTTTTTTTTTTTTTTTTGTTTTTTTGAGACAGAGTCCCACTGTGTCACCCAGGCTGGAGTGCAGTAGTGCAATCTCGGCTTGCTGTAACCACCACCTCCTGGGTTCAAGCGATTCTCCTGCCTCAGCCTCCCCAGTAGCTGGGATTACAGGCATGCACCACCATGCCCCACTAACTTTGTGTATTTTTAGTAAAGATGGAGTTTCACTGTGTTGGCCAGGCTGGTTTTGAACTCCTGACCTCAAGTGATCCACCCGCCTCAGCCTCCCAAAATTGCTGGGATTACAGGCATGAGCCACCACGCCCAACCTATGATGGATTTTTTAAAAATTTCTCCTATTTATTCAAAATGTAAGTTGGAGCATAATTATTTATATTGCTACAAAACATACAGTAAGATTATTCTAAGTGACAAACTCTCCTGAATAAGGTTGAAAGAGCCTTTGGATTATAAGATTTTTATTAACATACCATTTTCAAAAATAAATATACTTTATACGAAGAAATAGAGGCATGTATTATAATCTGTGTGGAAAATGGCAGTCCACAGAATGATCCCCATTTATTTCAGAATTACCAGTGTTCATGCCATCTCTCTCACGGGGCTGAGCTGCATATATAAAAAAGAAAAATTCTAATTATTTTTTCCTGTTAATAAATATTCATTTTGAATAAATATGAAAAAACTTTTGAAATACAGCTGCCTGAATCTCATATGTAGTCCCATAGTCATTTGCCCTAAGCCAGTAGAATATGGATTATTTTAATTTATATTTGCCTATATATTTTAGTCTGAACATATTTGAAAGTAGGTGGACAAATGATAAAATGTTTTATTCATGTGTAAAACTGTCTCAAATGAAGCTGTTATGAATGTCTTTTTTGAAAGAGTTATTTGAGATTATTTAATTTGAAGAGATACTGAATTTAAGATACACTGATTATATTTCACATTTCCTACAGTACATATTTTTAAAGAAAGATTAATATACCTACTTTGCCTATTATTGGGAATTCTCACAATTTGTTTATCAAAGATATTTTTGTATCACTAGTTTGTTATATAAGGAACAAGTATAACTTTTTATACAAGTTGCTGAAACACTTTTTAATTTTAATGTAGGTTAAAAGAAAAGTGTTCTTACAGCAATCTCTTATATAGAACTATGTAAGGTATTATGTATAAGGTATTAATAGTTGCCTCACACTTTTAGAGATGTCTCTTGGAATGTGCCTAAGCTACAATTGAGAAAGCAGTTAAAAAATTTGCTGCTTGAGAATATTTTGATCTTTGCTGGGATGAGGGACATCTACATGCCCTTTATTTTCAGGACTTGCATTTTGCATTTTTATTGTTACTGAGGACTGTGTTAATTAATTTGTCTCCCTATCTTCATTTTCAATATTTAACTACTTGCAACATTTTATATTTTTAGAACATATTTCATATCAGTTATTCTCTGTATCATGCATAGGGCCAGCTCTATACAGGTGGCCCAAACTCGACAAATATGAAGTTATGGTTGCTGTTTTTGCCTACATTACTCTGATAGACTCTCTAGATTGTCCCCCGATTTATTTTATCTTCCATGAATTTTATAGATATTTGTGGGGCTGTTTTACCTTCGCCTCAAAGGTGATGACATCAATCATACTATACTGACTACCTTTGTCTTTTAATTCCCAAAATAATCACACAATCATGTGTTACTGGCACAAACAAGTTATTCTTTAGTTTTATGCCTGCTTTTACCTGAAGACTTATTTACAAACTAATTGCAAAGGCAGGGTAAAATTAAATATCATCATTGACAGTTAATAGGGAAAGTGGTAGATTTAAACACCATAAAAAAAAGGTCTTTGATGCATCTGGGAAATAGTTTCAGGAGATTAAATTAAGGAGAAAGAGGAGGTGGGGCCCCCGAGATTTGAAAAGTAGATAGTCTTAAGGTTGTTCTGTAAAGGAGATGTACAGAGATAGGATTGGATTCTCTTTAATGTTGAATGCTATACCCAGACAGACAGTATCCACTGAAGGCCTGCTGACTCCATGGTTTCTGCCCCAGCCTCTGTTTACCTGGGAACACACTGGAACCCGTGGTCAGCTTCCTTAGACAAAGCTAGTTCAGCCCTAACTCCATCTGCCACACAAAAGCAAGTCCACACCCTTCACTTCCACCCACTTTGATGGCCAGTGGTTACCTAGCCCTAAGAGGACTGCTGTAAATTGAATCTATGTTCTATACCCTTCCAGGTCTGAGAATAGGTAGGGTGACAGTAACTGTAGAGGCAGAAGAAAGCAGTAGGTAAAGGAATGAATGAATGAATGAATGAATGAATGAATGAATGAATGTAACTAGAGAGGAAGGAAAGTAAGAATGAAAACTTGGAAGAAAAAAGAGGTAGAAGTGAGGGTGGCATGAGTACATTATGAAAAGAATGTTATCCTGCTTAATTTTCCAAGAGTTTTTTTCCCCCCTTTATCTTCTTGCTAGCTAGTTTTTTTGTTGGTTTGTTTTTTGTTTTTCTTCCACTTCCTTTGGTAAAATTTAGTGTGGTTTCACCATGTAAACTTATGACCCCAAGGGAGAACTTGACCATGTAAAATCTTGTCATGTTAGGTTGTCCTCACACAGTCCCATAAGTAATATTGTAAGGTAATACTGGTACCATTTTGTTTTTTAGGCAATATTGGACGTTGTTGTGAATCTTCAATTTAGCCTGATAGAAAAATTGTGGCAAACATTCTGGCGCTATTCTCCCTCTACTCCAACTGATGGCACTACTATTACTGAATCGAGGTCAGAATCAACATCTTTTCCAATTCATTTTCATGGCTGAGTAGATGTCACAGCAAATAAATTAGAGATATGTATACCAGTTGTGAACCTTACCTGATGACATTAAGTGAATAGATTGATGTTTTGGCCATCCTAGAAATAAACCACGAACTGCTCTCTTGAGGTTTCAGTGTGTGTATATAACTCCCATTTGTATTGATTTGGGGGACTGTGGTAGTTATTTCATCCTCATGGAATTACTATCATATCTGCCTTTCATACCGTCAGAAAATACGAATGTGCATAGACAGCTCTGGGGGAGTGTTTTATATATCTGTCTCTCTCTATATATATATAGCCAGCTGTATGGCACCAGTGCAATGGTGGTATAGTTCTAACCTCAGTAATATTTGGTAAACTTAAACTATTTTTAAAGTCCATTTTCTTTTTTATCCTCATTTGCCATCTATTCATTTGCTACATTTATTCACACCAGCAATCTGAGTGAAATAGAAAGTCGACTTCCGAAAGCAAAGCTGATAACTCTGTGCAAACATGAGTCTATCCTGAAATGGATGTGTAACTGTGACCATGGGATGTACCAGGCTTTGGTGGAGATTCTCATCCCCGACGTCCTTAGACCTATTCCTAGTAAGTTAAATGCAGACGAGTATGGATGCTTTTGTTCTCATACATTCCACCCAGGAAGTTTTGAGAAGTGACATTGCAATCTATAATGATTCTAATTTCATTTAAATATGCCAGATAGAAAACATGCAACACAGAGTATTGCGTGAAAGCAGCCTAGAGCAAAACAGTAGTAAAAGGGAAAAGATGATCTATTTTTCAGTCTGTCTTATGTTTTTCTTTTTTTTCTTTCTTTCTTCCTTTTTTTTTTTTTTTTTTTTTTTTTTTTGATAAAAAAGCCAACCTGTAGATGTAACAACCCAAGTAAACTAATTGCAAGAACACTAGCAGGCCGGTCAACCATGTCAAAATTATTCTACCCAAGAACACAGTCCCCTTCATAAAGCCAAAAATTATGGAAACCTGTCATTGCTAGGCCAGCCTCCTTCATGGTTGCTTTTGATTTGAAGTGAATCTATCTTGATTTCCACTGAAGTTGAATTCCATTATAAAAGCATTTACTTTGTCACCTACGTCATGTTAAGAACTACAAATGCAGTTTCCATTAACAGTAATGGTTAACTGGCATTTTAAGAGAAAAATCTTTGTAACTACACAAGCATTGTAATCCCACTACCAAGAAAATGGGAATTACATAGATAGGTTAGATTATCTTTTTAAGTGATGGTGCTTTTTAAACTACTTTGTAGCAAACAAAGCTATTTTCTGCAAATATCAATGATATAAATGCTACCACAGATACTGTTAGAAGCAGCTGAAACTATTTTATGCCTACATCTATATGAGTACACACTAGTGACCTTAACTTTTTAAGAAATGAGACAGTTTCTACTCTGCATTGACATTAATAAAGTAAAAGCAAGCATAGAGCTTGTGAAATTGGCTACTGTGTACTTATACTATTCACAGATGATTTGTGTTAAATTATTCTAGAAAATACAAAAATAGAAATTTAGTAGAACAAAAGGGGAAGATATTAACATTTGTATGCTTATACTTTCTTTTTTTCTAAATAACAATAGACAGCAGTAGAAGGTATAAGATCTTTAATATGTTCCCAACCACCTTAAAATATATGCTTAAACATATTTCCAGATAATATTAATGAACACACCTAAATTTATATAGGAAGAAATAAAAAAAAAAACTTAGCTGACATTATCTCACAATTTTGTAAATTGCTAATATAGTCTACTCTATCACCAAGTTTCCTGACTAAAGGTTGATTAAAAATGGTGTTATGGAAAGTTTCACTAGCTAAACTCTCTACTGATTTATGTTCCAGAATTGGATTTTCCTTGTTTTTCTCTTGCTCTCTGTGTTCTGAGTGATAATCTCTAGAGATGTTTATGAGAAGTTGCATAGAGTAGCTCGTTAGCCTCTGACATCTTACTACCAACATAAAGTTTTTCTCATGAGATAAAAGAAGGGATGTCAGCAAGTACTTTCTTTTTTGAGGCAAATCAGCAACATCAGTATTCATTAAACAGTTCTAACATCTTTTGCTTCTATAACAGCACCATAAGACTTTAACTTGTGAGTTTAACAGTTCTCTATTTTAAATCTTGTATCAACTTTAGTTTAATTCAAGCCCATAATTTTAAGTACACAACACTCTGACCTTTGTCTTTTGCAAATTTTGATTTTTAAAAACAGTTTATTCTGTCAAATAGCTTGTCTCTAAATTAAGCAGACGCCCAAATAGTTTTATACTCTCTCTGAAATTATAAGATGCATTGATATACCATCCTACCAAGGAAATTTGGAAATTTAATTCCCATTCTACAATGAGGTGTAACAAAATAAAGCTTAAAATACAACTTAGATAGCTGTTTTCTGGTTGTATGCATTTTAATATTAATTTTGAGCAGGTTGAGACAAGTCAGCTTTGGAATAGAATTTAAATTCCAAACCATCCATTCATGAGCCTTTGAAAGTTGTCAGAGTCAATCTGCACAATTTTGTACATACATGAATCCCTATAGAGAGAGCAAACTTAATTTTATTTTTAAAAATTGTATTTTCCTGGCTACTAGCACTTCACTGTACCATTTTCTGTCCAGATGGGATTTCTTTTTTTAGCTAAAAAAAAGTCTGCACATCACACTAATTTAATGTCAGCTTGAAGCTACTATATTCTAAAATACATTTATCTGAAAGTGAAAAAACGTTAATTGTATGAGCACTCAATGGGTAACACTTAAATGTACAATTACAAGTATAACCAAAGGTGGCCCAGAATATCATTTAGTAGAAAAAGTGAAAATTCACAATTATTTAAAATGCAAAATATATCTTTTCTTATCTAACCACCCTTGCATTAAATTTATCTAGATAAAACAGGCCCATAATAAATATTTTTTAAGTAACATTTATATATTTGGGGGTTATTTTTCAGATTAAATAATTATTGTATATTAATTGTAGGAAAAATGGAAAATGCAGATTGCCAAAATGAACCTTGAACAAAATTTTACTGTTTCAAAAGGGATTATTAATTTTTTTTCACTCTTTTTCATTTCCATTCATGCCTGCCCTCCATGGTTTTAGCACATAATACAACAGAAAAATATTTTTCTTTCTTTTTTCCTTTTTTGGCTAATGTGGGAAGCTTTGAAGGTTTCAAAAGATTGGTTCTCAAGAAATTTCCAATTCAGTGTTTCCAGTTATGATCCTTGTGGTTAAGGATCTGCACTGCTTGAGTGTTTTTCCTAACCAAAATTTAGCCCGTTCCAGTCTCGTCTCTCCAGTTTTTAACAGTTAAACAAATCTCTTAAAAATGCATTTAGTTGTCTTTATTATTGGAATAGTAAAATTTATATTGTTTGCAAATAACTTGAGTAAGTGAAATTATTTATAAAACCTGGTTTTAACAGAAGCATAGAGAATCATGTCAGACTCATTTGACAACAGAAAGAAAAACCAAGGAATTTAAGCCCATCAGTAACATTAATATTCTTGGGGACCTTGGCCCAAAATATAACTGTGTTTTTTTTTATAGTAGCATATTTTGATACCTACCCCATTATAGAGAACCTACAAAGATGAATTTTATGTTGTAGGTGCTTCAGGCACTTATCTATTAAATGTCTATAATTGTCCTCTATACTACTATGGAGCCTTGGGCACAGAGGAAGTAAAATACTATTAACTGAATTACTTGTTGTACAAGAAAAGTATTCTGTCTCCTACTATATAGCAATCTCAGTAAGCAGATTTTTTCTTATTAAATAGTCATAGTCATCACTGATAACTGAAGATACTTCTAATTATTTTTATGACCACCATCAAATCTTCTGTCATGGGACCTATCCCTATTTCAGGTTTTAACAGATATGTCAAGAATACAGAATGAGCTATTTTAGGAATATCTTAAGAATATGGGTTTCCGGCCGGGCGCGGTGGCTCAAGCCTGTAATCCCAGCACTTTGGGAGGCCGAGACGGGCGGATCACGAGGTCAGGAGATCAAGACCATCCTGGCTAACACGGTGAAACCCTGTCTCTACTAAAAAATACAAAAATCTAGCCGGGCGAGGTGGCAGACGCCTGTAGTCCCAGCTACTCGGGAGGCTGAGGAAGGAGAATGGCGTGAACCCGAGAGGCGGAGCTTGCAGTGAGCTGAGATCCGGCCACTGCACTCCAGCCTGGGCGACAGAGCAAGACTCCGCCTCAAAAAAAAAAAAAAAAAAAAAAGAATATGGGTTTCCCTAACAGCAATTTTATCATACTGATCTTTTATCTCTACCTGCCAAATGAAATGGAAAATAATTGCCCAAAAATTTCAATTCAGACAATTTTAATTTTTACCTTTTCAAAAAGGATGAGAGAGAATTACTCCAATTCATAGATTCTAAGTAAATAGATGCATAGAGAAACAGAGAAAGCTTTGCATTATTTTTCTTTTTAATAAAAGAAATGGAAATAGATTAAGAGCTTGAAAGAACAAGATGAAGAATTTTAAAGAAAATACATAATCTTTAGCACAAAACTGTTAATGAAAGGAGTGTTTTTTCCAAGCAAGAATATTCTATAAGTATATTCACAACTGGTATATGTTGCTGTAAGCAAAAATGTTTGAATCCTTTTTTTCCCAAAAAAGTGTCACAAGTATCCGGGAACAAAATAACTTTAAAAGAAAAAGCCCAAAATATAATTCTTGGATGCTTTAAAAATTAGGAATAATGTTAAATAAAGTTTTATCAATGAGGACAATATGAGTTCTGTGCTATATCAGATATTGTGTACGAGCATTTTCTTTTATTCTAGCACAAATATTAATATTCTTTCATACCTTTTTTATTCTGCTTTTATTCTTTAATGTTTAGGTGCCTTGACCCAAGCCATTCGAAATTTTGCAAAAAGCCTTGAAGGTTGGCTTTCCAATGCCATGAACAACATTCCACAGAGAATGATACAAACCAAGGTATACTTTATGTCCTTGCTTTTTCTTTTGTGTTTAGGAAATTATTCTGAACTGTGAACTTTACATCTATCCTATCAAACGGTATTATGTAAAATGTTAAGGTTATAATATACATCATCTTTTAAAACTGATTTTTATATTTGTATTTTATAACCATGTAATAAAGAACTTGCACAAGAGATGTTTGGCAATGTTCCTTTCAAAGAGAATAGGGAAGCATTTCAAGCGTGGTGCATTTACAAGCCCTTTCTAAACAATATATTAGGTATATATATTCTAAATTATATATATAAGAAAGATATAAACTATGTGTTTAATTTCAGATATTAAAATAATAGCCTAGAATATTCAAATAGTTTTCATTTGAAGGAATTTTCTATTTCTAAAATTTCTTACTGTACCTATCATATCCTGAAAAGTTCATATAAATTAATATTGTTTTGCTTTTTCAGGATGTTTTGGTGTTTTTCTAAACACTGGAGGATGCTTTTGTGAATCAAGTGAACAATTAAGTCGTAATTAATCAATATATCTCAGGAATGTGGATTATTTAGCTAGAGATATAAATTTTAGTCTCTACTTTGTCTCCTACTAGCCATGTTACTTTCAGTTAATCTGTGAACATATCCCCATAGCAAGATTGGACTAATCCTAAATTTTATTTAAATTTTGGTACCAGAAATCACATTTGTGGCTTCTTGTCAATGACTGTATTTACTGTCAGACTCCAGCAATATACTTTGCCTTTGAATCTGGGGGCAGAGTTGGTCAATTGAAGTTATTTTAGCTGATAAACCTCTGTGGGAACATAAGTAGCCTCCAGTTCGTTCACTTGGGCTTAACGTTTGCAATAAAACTTTCTCTCTCTAAAACATATATAGAAGGCAACATTTCACTGGTATGCCCATATTAGATTGTTCCTCTAGAGCTGTGCTGTCACAGTAGGGCCAGCCACATGTAGCTATCAAGTAGGGCCAGCCTCATGTGGCTATTTAAATTAGAATTTTAAATTAAGTGAAATGAAAAATTTAGCTCCTTAGTCACACTTGTTACATTTCGAGTGCTCAGTAGCCTCCTCTGGCTGCTGGCTACACATGTTAGGCAGCATATATGTAGAGCATGTCCATCATTGCAGATAGTTCTTCTCTTTGGCAGTGCTGTTGTAAAGTACCACATTGAGGTGTGCAAAAAAGGAGGTGGTCTTTGATTATGATCGAGGAATCCTTTCAACTTTCGGTCACATTTATAACAATGCCTCAAACAGCTAAAAGCACTTCCCTTCCCAGTGTTGTCAAAGTGAATGTGGTAACAATCCAGTTGCAACATTGGCCGTCTCATTGACCTCCAGAGTTTGCTTGAATGATTCACCAGAATGATTCACCACAGTAGAGGGTGCCGTGTGTTCTTCTGGTTTCACTGATATGCAGTCTCTTTTCCTCTCCGCATTCAATTAATAGAGATAATTTACCCTGACAGAGAAAACAGCATTCCAACTTCTGTGGCTTTTGGAATCAAAATGCCCAGGTCAATTCCCATCACTAATGGAGTTTCTTTGCAACCTTGAGCAAGCTACTTATCTTCTTTAAATCATATGTGTCTAATAAGATAGTTAAGAGATTTGAATAGGATAATATATGTAAGGCACTTAATCCAGAGCCTGGCACAGTATATACTGGATTAATTTAAACCACAAAAATGGAATAAGATTCTTTTTTGAGGATGTGTGAGCTTCTCCCCAAGTTCCAAATAGTCCTCAAACATCTCACTGTCAGGATAGAGCATCCTGTTCCCTGTGAACACCGTCTACCACTCCCAAATGATCATTCAACTACTCACACCTTATATACCCATATAAGTGATTGAGTGCAATATTATACATTCCTGTAAATTGTCCATTTTTTAAATATATTTTTAAAAGATTAAAATTATTAGATCTGTATTGTGCACATAACAAATTTCCATGAGATAATGTAGACTTTATGTAGACTTTTTGCATTATCTTTGCTATCTTTCAAAAAAACTGCTTTATTCAGGGTGTGAACAGGAAACAAATCATGCACCCAAAGGTGGGGATAATCTAAGAGAGTTTAAGAAGAGCTTATTTCCAAAGGTATGAACAAAGTTGATAAAACCAAGGAGGAATAGTAAAGCATCCCAGGGCTAGCAATAGTGAGAATCCTAATCATCCCTAGGAATGAAGGGGTGAGAGGTAAAAGCTATGGCATTAGGAAATCCACTCTTTCCCTCAGGACTGTGGTAACATTAGAAAAGGAAAGCAGGCTCCACTCTTAACAGGCAGCAAGCAGAGGTTGTAGTGAATAGGTACCATGGTAACCACTCTTTCTTCCCATCCTTCCATCTCCTGATAGTGCCTGTCATTGGTCAAACCCAAGTGGAAGCCAGAGAACAAGGAGGGAGGTTAATGTGGTCCATTCAGATCAATCTTCAAGATGAAGAAAAATGGAAAGTAGATTTTGAGAGACAAATAGAAACTTCCTGCATAGCCGTTTTAAAGAAACTGTAATTCTGAAAAAGGGTTATTCTGGTTGTTTGCCTCTGGTAATTTCACCTCAAAATTACTCGTTTCTATAAAATAAAGGTAGCAAGAATAAATCTGAATGGTAATGCTCTGACATGCATTTTTAAAGTCAGTTTAGAGTAGGAATGTCCAGATCTCTTTTTATTTGAAAAGCCAAACTGCACATCCCTACTTTTAAAATTTTCCTACTTTGTACTTGACTGTCCAAAGAGCAGTAAAAAAAGAAATGAAAACCAACATTTTTCCTGCTTACCGTGGATAAGAAGTTACTTGCAAGACTGATTTAATTAATGCTACACTCAGATGTCAAAGAATGTGGGAGTTTGTTTTAGTCTTGACCTCAACCTACTCAAAAGGAAAATAATACTTGGTTTAGAGATTTAAATGCTATAATTTACAAGTAAACTCTCTCACCAAATGAATTTTAAATAAGTATCAGAGGCAAGCATTTAAAATTTGGCAAGGGAAGAAAGATTTGAAGATTGCAGTGGTTTGTTTTACTGGAGAAAACAGAATCCCAACTTAATTGGATTGCTTTACAGGTTGCCGCTGTAAGTGCCTTTGCCCAGACTCTGCGAAGATACACGTCGCTCAATCACCTGGCCCAGGCAGCTCGTGCAGTGCTTCAGAACACTTCCCAAATCAACCAGATGCTTAATGACCTCAACCGTGTCGACTTTGCCAATGTCCAGGTACTCTATTTCCTTGCAAAGTATGTCTCTTAAGGCAAGATACCCAGTTTGTTCTTCTTAATTAGGATCATCAAATTTCTTTTCAAAGTCTCATCTATATACCGGCAGCATCTATATTCACAGTGTCCTGAAAGAGAGAAGTTTGATCCAGATACAGCTATACTGCTCCCGTGTTTGTGGTTAAAGTAAGCTCACATTTACAGTCCTAAAAGACAACATATCACCAGTGTTTGCTGAATAATTAGTAGAGTAATAAAGGTCACAGTCATTGAAGTAAGACAGGCAAGAAGTTAAACTCTTTCATATACTAGCTGTGAGATCTTGGGCAAGTTACTTAACTACTGTAGGCTTCATTTTCCCCACCTTATAACACCTATCTTAGATTATTGTTTATATATTTAATAATTTGTACCATGACATGCATAGATACTTCTATTTTAGTGCCCCTCCTTGAAAGAACTAAGAACAATTCTATTTCAGAGTTTACTATAGCTGCCTAGTAAATACTTATTCACTTAAAAAGAATTATAGGCAATAAGTTCGGCTCTTGTGATAGTTCAAATGAAAAATATTGTTTAACCTTGTGATCACATTACCCACTTGTACTTTAAAGTACACTTTAAAAGCTGAGTTAGAAACAGTATTATAGAATTTCAATATCAATCACTGCTTTATTTCTGGTTCTAAACTAATGAATCTAAATGTTACCCTATAAAAACAATATCATTGTCTACCAAAAGCATAAGCAACAAAAGGAAAAATACATAAATTGTACGTAATCAACATTTAAAACTTTGGGGTTTCAAAAGAGACCATCGAGAACACGAAATGACAACCCACAGAATGTGAGAAGATTTTTGCAAATCATATATGTGATAAAGGATTTGTTTATAGAATATGTAAAGAACCATTACAACCCAGTAATAAAAGACAGCCTGATTAAATATGGACAAACATCTGAGTAGACATTTCCCCAAAGAAAACAGACAAATGGCCAAGAATCACATTAAAAGATGCTCAATCTCGTTAGCCACAAGGGAAATACAAGTCAGAACCACAGCGAGGTACCATTTCATTTACTCTAAAATGGGTCTAAGCAAAAAGACATGTAATAACATATCCTATTGGTGAGGATGTAAACAATTGGAACCTCATACACTGCTGGTCAGAATATAAAATGCTGTAGCCACTTTGGGAAACAGTGTGGCAGTTTATCAAAAAGATAAACGTAGAGTTACCATATGACTCAGCAATTCCACTCCTTGTTGTATACCCAGGAGAAATGAAATCATGTCCACACAAAACTTATACATAGAGGTACATAGCAGCACTATTTATATCAGCCACATAAAAGCAGAAACAACCCAAATGTTCGTCAACTGATTTAATAGATAAACAAAATGTGATCTATCCATTCAATGGAATATTATTGGGCAATAAAAAGAAATGAAGTTCTGATTCATTCTGCAACATAGACGAACCTTGGAAACATTATGCTAAGTGAAAGAAGCCAGGTGCAAAGGATCACATGTTCCGTGATTCCATTCATATGAAATTCCAGAATAGATAAATCTATACAGACAGAAGATAGATTGGTGGTTACTTAGGGCTGGAGGATTGAGAAGACTGAGAGGTAACAAATAAGAGTCATGGGGTTTATTTTTAGAAAAATGAAAAAGGTCTAAAATTGATTGTGGTGAGTGATGTACAACTTTGCGAATATACTAGAAGAAACCTTTGAAGAGTATTCTTTAGATGAATGAACTGTATAATGTGTGAATTACATTTCAGTAAAGCTGTTAAAAAACAATATTGTTGTTTTAAAAATAAGCTAATTGTTAATTATTTTATTTTCTAGAAATTTTAATTTCTACTTCTTGCCTAGTTTTGTCATTTAAAATATACCAAAAAGTAACATTTGGGCTTGATCCATTTTAGAGTACAATAAATTAGTTGTTCATTGTGATTTTCATGGACTGGGTTCAAACTTCTGAGATATATATATAGAGAGATATCGATATCTAATATTTTATATTATTTGTATCTAATGTAAAACTATATATATGAAGTTTTAAAAAATATCTATCCATCTACAAAAACACATACACACATACAAGTACATAATCTTTACAAGAACAAACTTTCTCAGCTTTACAAAACCATTTACTTTACATATTTCAGTAGGATATATTAACTAAATATGCAAAAATATTAACAGTTTATATTGCCTTAAAATTTACTGTAATATTTATTTCAAATCTTTTTTCAGAAAAGTTTAAAAGTGTCTTAAGAAAAGTTGAAGAAGGCAGCTTCTAGTTTCAGAAAGTAATTTAAACTCAATAACAGAAAACATTTTAAAGAATTATTTCTAATAATATCTGAGAAAGTTTTTCAGTGTTCTGTTAGTATTATTATATGTATAAATACATAAATGTATTTGTGTATCTGCATTCCAATGAAGTATTTCTACAAATGAGTTCTTCCCTGGTTATAAGCATTAACTTTGAGAACATCTTTGCATATTAATGATCAGTGATATGTCTACTGTACTACTTATCCTCTACCTGCCAACTTTGAGAATACCCTTTCTTTTCCTCTATTTTTGACTATCATGTTTTTCTGGGTCCACCATGATAGTCATTACTGCTGAAACCCGTATGATTCAGCATCTGCCCTCCAAAACCTTCTTCCTTTTTTCAGAGTACCATGACACTGTAGTGAGTCCTTCATTTCCCCCTACATTTTACTTTTCACAGCTCTGTACATTTTAATGAGTAATCTCTTTCTCAAGATAGCACTTTTCGTCTTTAACACCCTTATTTCTTTCCTTTTCTTTTCCTAGTTTTGCCAGATTTTCCCAGAGTCCCTTTCCTCCCTTTTCACCTTTATCCCCATCTCCAGTTCATTTGGAAGTTGTCCCAACTCCTGTAACATGAACCTCAATAATCTGACAATATAAGAATGATGCTCTTGTAATAAGGAGACTTCTATTTAAAACAATGAAATTACATGTATGTCAATATTATAATACACTAAGAGCTTGAAAGTGCTAAAAAGTTCCTTTCAGGATATCCGTATATCACTTTTTACTGCTCTATTCTTCTCTAATTAAAATTTCTTTTCTTTATGCATTTAAGATAATTTTTCTATTGCAGTACAGTTGGTTTCCTGTTTAATTGATAGTATTGCAATGGCATCATTCTCTGATTTTTTTGTGTAAATGGGTGGTTTTTGAAGTCCACATTATGGGCTAAATAGGTTTGGGTGGGCTGACTTGATAACTTAGCTATTGCATATACTTATGTTTCTGTATTTAAAAGCATTCTGATTTTGAAGCTCCTGACTACTTTTCATTTTGGATATATATTTTTTTCTAAGTTAAGAACATCTGTAAATGTCCTTAGCTTTTTCAATTATAGACTTGAAATATCTACATTCGTTTCACAGGGAAATATTTACAATGTGCTCTATTGTTAGTATATTTTCACTGAAGAGAGTAGTAAAATGAAGTATAATATAAATTAGTTTGAAGGTCAGAATAATGTGCTGTGGTTTATTTCTCTAAGTTAGGTTTTAGATTATCATCTTTTCTTGGCAAAAACTAACTGCCAAGTAAATAGTGAGTTTGAATTTATGGTAAGATATGAAATTAAATTGCTTCATGGATACTAGTAAGTTTCTCCTTCCAGTTATCAATGTGCAAACAAACAAAAAAACCTATCCTGCTAATTTCAGCTTTATTTGTAATACTAAAATGTTGGAACAAACAAATCAAACAAATGTCTATGTGGGATTGGTTATATAAATAATAGTACATTATGCAATAAAACAAATTCATTCAGTGGACAATAAATATAGGTCTAATTTGCCTACATGGAAAGATGGTTACTATATATTTCTAAGTGAAACTAATCAGAATATCTAATAGAAAATATAATATGATCCTCTTTTATTTTAAACATTTAAGTATGTATAAGCATATAATAATATAAAATGTATGTATAAATATGAGTGTTTCATAATACAAATATATATTTAAAATATAAATGTATGCATAAATAATATAGTGTATGTGTGTATTATAATATATGCATAAATATATATATTTATATATGCAGAGAAAAGTTTGAAAGGTACATACATCAACATGACATGCTATAATTTCTTACTGTTGCCATTTTAAGTATTCTTAATGTTTTGTTCCTTTTTAGCTTGTTTGTATTTACAGTTTTTTCTATAATTTTAGTATACTTAAAATATTTAAAAGTGGTATTCAGAAGGTAACATCTGAATGGATTTATGATTAATTAGTTAAGAGAAAAAAGACAGTGAATAATATCATCAGCTGAGATACAGAAGAAACAGTAGGTTTCCCTGAGAATTTAAAATAAGTTAAGTTTGGGGCATTTTGCATTTGAAGTGCCTCCAGGTTGAAATGTCCCTTGAATAGGTAAAGTCTGTAGGATCAGGAGAGATCCTGGAACTAGAAGAAGGAGATAATGGATTTATTCCGTTGAAGTTGTCAATTTGAATGAATTTGTTTTTTGAGAGCATATAGAAAAAAAAAACTATAGACACCCTTTTGAGAAAAATACGTATATATTCACAGGGTTTTATTGGGAGCCTCATAGACACTTCTCCAAAGAAATCTGTCTTGACAAGATTATCTGGACACAACGAACCCAGCTTAAAATTTTTCATTAAATTTCATTTGTTTAATTTTATGCTTAGGGAAACTGAGGCCCACCTAAATTAATTGCTTGAGGTTAGTTTTGTTAATTCAGACCCTAAAGCCTATGTCTTCTCATTCCCCGTCAAATATTACATTACCAAAGAATTATGTTTTGCCTTGAATGAATAGGTTTTTTTAAATCTTAAAATACAACATAGCACTGGAGACATCACAATACTTATGGCAACCACTGAAAAGTAGCTTTAAAATTTGCTATTTTCATTGCTGTTACCAAACATTTCCCAACCAGAACCAGAAGGAAAATTGCAATAATCACATTTTTTGGCAGGAAGCATGTCTACATTTTCTCAAAAGATTTTTTGTTGTTGTTGTTATTGTTGTTTTCAGTTCTCTGAATTAATTTGCATTCATAGCCTTGCCTTGATAGCCCTTGAGATTTCTGTTCCCAATCCATAGAACTCATAACAGCATATGCTTCTACCTAGTACCATTCAGTGTTTGTTTCTGTTTTAATCTTGAGGGGACCACTTTTGGCCGATTGTATCTATTTATCTGTCTGATTTACCCTAAATCTTCTCAAATGAATTGGTTTTAAAGTTTTATCTGATGGGGAACAAAAACAGAACTTCTGAAAGCAGTGTGAAAGCTGAATAGAATGAAAGACCCTGCCTACTGTAGGTTCAGACTTCTGTTTTTTGAAGTAATCATGTATTTTAGTCTTTTACACAGACTAGTTAATGTAGAAAAACCAAATCATACTTACATGTGACATCACTTTTTTATGTACCAGAGTGAGCAACGAGAAATATTCATCCCTTAAAACTGTTAAAGATTGTGTTACCCTAACAATTGACAAGTAGTTTTTTATTTTCTGGATTCATTTAACTGTGTGAAGCTCTGTTCTTGCATCTGGTGTGTGTGCTGATGTTCAATGAAAGGATGCTGAGTTGAACTTTTCCTTTGCTTTCTATGTTACTGTCTCAGGAGCAGGCTTCCTGGGTGTGCCAGTGTGATGACAACATGGTTCAGAGACTAGAAACAGATTTCAAGATGACTCTTCAGCAGCAGAGCACCCTGGAGCAGTGGGCTGCGTGGCTTGACAATGTGATGATGCAAGCACTGAAACCCTATGAAGGAAGACCCAGTTTTCCTAAAGCCGCCAGGCAATTTCTGCTAAAATGGTCTTTCTACAGGTATCATCTAGGTTTTTCCTAGACTTGCTTCTTCATATTCTGCAAATATGTGTGTGTATGTGTGTGTATATGCTTCTGTGACAAAAGAAAGGAGTAAAGACTTTAGTTTGTGGAAACTCCCTGTTACAACTACCTTCAACCCAAGTCAGTGATTACAACATCATGGAAATGTACCAGGAAACTTAGAGAAATAAACTTTCTGCTAGGAAAAGTAATCTCTTGCTCAAAGTCCTAGATGTCCTCAGATGGGAACATCTGAGATTCCAGTCTAGATAATGTATTCAGCAATAATCAGAAAAGGCTACTGTACTCCCTCTTGCAACATACATTATTTAGACTTCTTTCTTGAGGCCTAACACTAGTCTCCTTTAGTTCTCTGTTTAGTGATGTTCAGAATGTGGTCCCTATACCAGTAGCATCACTATCAATTGGAAACATGTTAGAAATGCAAATTTCTAGCACTTCCTCCAAATCTACCTGTATCAGAACCTGTAGAGATAAGGCCCAGCAATTTATGTCTTAAAAAGTACTTCAGTTGATTCTGATGCATACCCAGAACTATCTACCTTCTTACTTCTATCAGTTATAACTGTTTTCAAACCTGGCTGCACGTCAGAATTAATGTAAAACAAAGAAACAAATCCTAAGTGCCTCCCAAGACCTACTAAATCAAAATCTTGGTGGGTAAGAGACAGTGATTAGTGGCTGAGCATGGTGATTCATGCCTGTAATCCCAGCACTTTGGGAGGCCGAGGTGGTTGGATCACGAGCTGAGGAGATGGAGACCATCCTGACTAACACAGTGAAACCCCATCTCCACTAAAAATACAAAAAATTAGCTGGGCATGGGGGCAGGAGCCTATAGTCCCAGCTACTTGGGAGACTGAGTCAGGAGAATGGCGTGAACCCAGGAGGCAGAGCTTGCAGTGAGCCGAGATCGTGCCACTGCACTCCAGCCTCGGCGACAGAGTGAGACTCCATCTCAAAAAAAAAAAGATAGTGATTAGGAATGAGGATAATCAGGATTTTTTTTCACAAAGCTCTCCTGGTGATTCTAATGATTGCCAGTAATCTAGTAGACAGTAACAATGCTTATTAATAATATAAATGAGTTTTTGACTAAAATAGTATAGATAGAAATGTGTACTTTTGTAGACATAGAAGCACCCAGAAGAAAAGGGCTTTTTGATTACATGACATATATCAAATGATGGGATGAGCTATTGACCATAACTCCGCCACAAAAATTAAAAACAGCATTTATGAGGCGGTTCCAAGATGGCCGAATAGGAACAGCTCCAGCCTCCAGATCCCAGCATGAGTGACACAGAAGACGGATGATTTCTGCATTTCCAACTGAGGTACCAGGTTCACCTCACTGGGGCATGTCGGACAGTGGGTGCAGGACAGTGGGTGCAGCCCAGTGAGTGAGAGCCGAAGCAGGATGAGGCATCGCCTCACCCGGGAAGCGCGAGGGGTCAGAGAATTCCCTTTCCTAGCCAAGGGAAACCGTGACACACAACACCTGGAAAATTGGGTCACTCCCACCCTAATACTGCGCTTTACCAAGGGTCTTAGCAAATGGCACACCAGGAGATTATATCCCGCGCCTGGCTCAGAGGGTCCCATGCCCATGGAGCCTCCCTCATTGCTAGCACAGCAGTCTGAGATCGAACTACAAGGCGTCAGGGAGGCTGGGGGAGGGGCACCCACTGTTGCTGAATCTTAAGTAGGTAGACAAAACAGCCAGGAAACTCGAACTGGGTGGAGCCCACTGCAGCTCAAGGAGGCCTGCCTGTCTCTGTAGACTCCACCTGTGGGGACAGGGCATAGCCAAACAAAAGGCAGCAGAAACCTCTGCAGATGTAAATGTCCCTGTCTGACAGCTTTGGAGAGAGTAGTGATTCTCCCAGCACAGAGTTTGAGGTCTGAGAACTGACAGACTACCTGCTCAAGTGAGTTCCTGATCCCCAAGTATCCCCTAACTGGGAGACATCCCCCACTAGGGGCAGACTGACACCTCACACCTCACACGGCCGAGTACACCTCTGAGACGAAGCTTCCAGAGGAATGATCAGGCAGCAACATTTGCTGTTTAGCAGTATTCACTCTTCTGCAGCCTCCGCTGCTGATACGCAGGCAAACAGGGTCTGCAGTGGACCTCGAGCAAACTCCAACTGACCTACAGCTGAGGGTCCTTACTGTTAGAAGGAAAACTAACAAACAGAAAGGATATCCACACCAAAACCCCATCTGTATGTCACCATCATCAAAGACCAAAGGTAGATAAAACCACAAAGATGGGGAAAAAGCAGCACAGAAAAGCTGAAAATTCTGAAAATCAGAGCACCTCTCCCCCTCCAAAGGAACGCAGCTCCTCGCCAGCAATGGAACAAAGCTGGATGGAGAATGACTTTGACAAATTGAGAGAAGGCGGCTTCAGACAATCAAACTTCTCTGAGCTAAAGGAGGAAGTACAAATCCAGCACAAAGAAGCTAAAAACCTTGAAAAAAGATTTGTTGAATGGCTAACTAGAATAACCAATGTAGAGAAGTCCTTAAACAACCTGATAGAGATGAAAACCATGACACAGGAACTACATGACAAATGCACAAGCTTCAGTAACTGACTCAACCAACTGGATGAAAGGGTATCAGTGATTGAAGATCAAATGCATGAAATGAAGTGAGAAGCGAAGTTTAGAGGAAAAAAGAGTAAGAAGAAATGAACAAAGCCTCCAAGAAATATGGCACTATGTGAAAAGACCAAATCTACATCTGATTGGTGTACCTGAAAGTGACGGGGAGAATGGAACCAAGTTGGAAAACACTCTGTGGGATATTATCCAGGAGAACTTCCCCAACCTAGCAAGGCAGGCCAATGTTCAAATTCAGGAAATACAGAGAACTCCACAAAGATGCTCCTCGAGAAGAGCAACTCCAAGACACATAATTGTCAGATTCACCAAATTTGAAATGAAGGAAGAAATGTTAAGGGCAGCCAGAGAGAAGGGCCAGGTTACCCACAAAGGGAAGCCCATCAGACTAACAGCGGATCTCTTGGCAGAAGCTCTGCAAGCCAGAAGAGAGTGGGGGCCAATATTCAACATTCTTAAAGAAAAGAATTTTCAACCCAGAATTTCATATCCAGCTAAACAAAGTTTCGTAAGTGAAGAAGAAATAAAATCCTCTACAGACAAGCAAATGCTGAGAGATTTGTCACCACCAGGCCTACCCGACAAGAGCTCCTGAAGGAAGCACTAAACTTGGAAAGGAACAGCCAGTACCAGCCACTGCAAAAACATGCCAAAATGTAAAGACCATCGATGCTAGGAAGAAACTGCATCAACTAACGAGCAAAATAACCAGCTAATATCATAATGACAGGATCAAGTTCACACATAACAATATTAACCTTAAATGTAAATGTGCTAAATGCTCCAATTAAAAAAAACAGACTGGCAAATTGGATAAAGAGTCAAGACCCATCAGTTTGCTATATTCAGGAGACCCATCTCACGTGCAGAGACACATGTAGGCTCAAAATAAAGAGATGGAAGATGTACCAAGCAAATGGAAAACAAAAACAAAGTCAGGGGTTGCAATCTTAGTCTCTGATAAAACAGACTGTAAACCAACAAAGATCAAAAAAGACAAAGAAGGCCATTACATAATGGTAAAGGGATCAATTCAACAAGAAGAGCTAACTACCCTAAATATATATGCACCCAATACAGGAGCACCCAGGTTCATAAAGCAAGTCCTTAGAGACTTACAAAGAGACTTAGACTCCCACACAATAATAATGGGAGACTTTAACACCCTACAGTCAACATTAGACAGATCAACAAAACAGAAAGTTAACTAGGATATCTAGGAATTGAACTCAACTCTGCACCAAGTGGACCTAACAGACATCTACAGAATTCTCCACACCAAATCAACAGAATGTACATTTTTCTCAGCACCACATCACACTTATTCCAAAACTGACCACATATTTGGAAGTAAAGCACTCCTCAGCAAATGTAAAAGAACAGAAATTGTAACAAACTGTCTGTCAGACCACAGTGCAATCAAACTAAAACTCAGGATTAAGAAAATCGAAACCTCCCAACCACGTGGAAACTGAACAACCTGCTCCTGAATGACTACTGGGTACATAACGAAATGAAGGCAGAAATAAAGATGTTCTTTGAAACCAATGAGA